ATTAGTGAAGAGAACTGAATAGCTGACAGCTTACACTGTAAAAAGATTTTCTTTTAATATATTCCAGTCACTTCACAGTAAGAGATGCAAGTTTGGACTTCATTGAAATGGAGGTCCAGTAAGTAAGACTAAATGTTTGTAAAATGTAGTAAATCCAGAAAAAGAAAAAAAAAAAAAAAGACATATAATACTATTAAGAAAATCTGTAAGTTTCTGTGTTATTTCAATGAAAAATGTTTTTATAACTAGACAGTCTTCATACTACCCTCTCGAGTTTTAAGGAAACAGACATGTAACAGAAGCTGTAGACGTGATATGTATTAATAATTCTCATTAATATYAATAATTGCTAATACTAGCAGTGAATATTAGGAGTGACTCCTAGTTAGGCGTGACTATGTAAGCATACCAAATCAATAATATAAAATATCTTTCTATTTTAATAAGGCTATACAACCAATTACAAGCTCATCAAAATATTGTCATATGAATTCTATATATAAGAACAACAGGTAATTTCCACAATAGTTGCAGATAAAAGTTGCATGTTACATGTACAAAACACAATGCTTCAAACTGCTGGATACAAAGTTCTTGTACTATGGATCTACCAAGTTTCAAATATTTTTTAGATGCTTCCAGATTATCGGGAACTATAGCACAGGGATAAAGAGACAACTGAGAAGCTACCTAAGGGTTTTAGTAAACACAATGACCAAGATATGCATTTTAGGTATTTTACTTGATTTCTTAAGTTCTTTTTTTCTTTCAGGAAAAGGAATAGCAGTGGCGTAGTGCCAGAGCAGTTAATTATCATTCTCAACCTTTGTAGAATTAAGAGCAAGAGGCATGTGCCCATGTGTATGCGTGCATGTGTGTGCATATACTAAAGGTTAAGATTTATTTGAAGATAAATATAATAAATTAATCAAGAGATAGCATACATTGTTGATTAGGAGCTTCTAGGTATCTCARCTGGTGGAACAGTTGAGATAAAATAATGGAATGAGAGAGAGTTCATTAATTGTAAGCTTTGTCTAGTTTCTATCCAAGTAAATTATCCTGAATATTAAAAAATAGTACCTTAGAAGGACAGAAAAATCAATGAAAATCGTTGACTAATGATTTAACTTCAACGTTTTCTTTTAATTCAAGATGAAATTCAAATATTACACAGATAGTTGTCTAAATCAATTTCCATTCATGTTTTGTATATAGGCATTATATAAAAAGGCTGATATTATATTATGATTTTGAAAGTCTTGCGGATAAATGAAGTCAAAAAAGTGATGCATAAATGCATATTTTTGTCTGCTTTCAGAGGTAAACCATTATAAAAGATGCATTCCTTAATAAACAAAATATTTCAGCCTCCAGCAGTAGAAAAACAGAACATATGGGTTCCTTATTAATTAATGAAGCAAAGTTTACCAACTCCAGCAACACAGTCATACATACCCAAAATAATGTTGTTTATCCTGAAATTCTAATTACTTTAGAAACATAATTCTATTAGTATCATAGGTTCTCCAGCACCATACTTGACATTAAGGACAAATTTTTAAAACTGGAGTAAATTTGAGTTTATCATTTTGTGCCGTTGCTGCTAACATGTAATTATTCTCAGCAGCTGACCTTTGCGTTATTGCATTTTAAAATGGAATGTTCACAAAAACAAAAAGAATGGATTTATAATGTGCTATTTATTCAACTGTATGTATTCATTAGATCCTACCCTACCAAAACCAATATTGTATCTGTATCAAACATTTTACATACTCATGTTATGGTAGTACATAATYCTGTGTTGTAAATCCTCATGTTATACCAAAACTGTTTTTAAACTTTTAACATATTTTTATATTATTATTAAAGTTTTGCTTATTTTTATTACATTTGAATGGATGTCATTTGAATTAATTTCAGTCAATAGACTCTCAAAATGTTTTTCACTGAAAGATCAACCYTTCCAAGCTTGCATAAGTACTTTGAGATAATGAATCTTCACAAAGCCACAGAAGTAAAAGGGAAGATTRAAAAGCACTGAAAATGAGAAGTTTTTCAGTGAATATTTTGGAAGTAAAATTATTCAGTAAACATCTGCAAATGAAACATCTTATCTGAATTAAGAAAACATGCTATATTACTATGTTTAGCAGTCTATGATTCTGCAGAGCTTCACTGAATCCAGAACTTTTATTACAATATTGTACTTCTCTAGGGCATGCACAACTGTTTAACAAATCCCAATTAAAAAAAAAAATAAAAATAAAAAAGGATGGATATATGAGTATTTGGTCATCTCAGCACTTGATTTTAAACACCACRGTCCTTTAGTGAAACCTCCACCATTTGCTTGTGTCACAATGTGTAGAATCACTTTAGTGCTGAACAGTAAGTAGAGAAGTCACCTATGGGAGCAAAGAGGAACTTCTAAGTAGACAAACATGATGACTGTTTTGCTCCAGTGGAATCCTAATCACCTGCATCTATGCAGAAAGAACAAAATCCCTATTAATGCTTTCCAAGAATAAGCAAGACCAAAATATTTCCATTATGGGCTACGGAGGACAGTTTCATAAACATACTAAGGATAGTATCCTCATACTTTAGTCTTTGATGTGATTAGATAGGGATTTTGAAAATCACATGTTTGTATTTCAGACTCAAATCCCAATGAAGGTCTTGTTCCAAATATGTGTTTTCTTCATTTCCTAGACTGTCAATTATTCAGTCTTCTAAAATTATCTCAAGCTCAACATCATATTTTTTTGCAATGTGTATTTTTCCTTTTAATTATTCAAGTATCAACTTCATCATAAATGCTCCAAGATGAATTCATCAATGAAGAAACACTAATATTAACACCACAAAATAAAGATTTCTATTTTGATGGGAGGAGTAATTTTGCTAGCAACATGTAGCAAAGGTGTAAGGCTCCAAATAATAGCTAATGAATATAAGTAGTTATTTTGTTGACTTTCAAATAATCATTTGTTATGGCATTTATTATATATTACACTGATAATGTAAGATTTACTTTTTTGTTATGCAAGAATCAGTAAAACTGTTAGGAATCTGCATTGTTTTGGTTTTGGTTTTGTTTCTGTTTTTCTACCTGGATTCGTCTGCAGTTTTTTTTTCAAAGAAAACTGAAAATTTTGCTAGAAAAGTAAATAATCCCAGTTCAGGAGTATTCAGGCTAATATGTGCAAACATCCTTTTATAGCACAAGATAATAATTTTATGTTAATATGTGTTTAAGTACCTTTCAAGTTCCAGCATATCACAGAAAAGCCAGAAATTATATTAAGATCCTATTAGAAAAAAAATAATTATACTGAAAAAAACACTTTTTGTGAATTTGTAATTTATCGTTATTTAAAGTGTCTATATTCRGTATACTGTTCAGCTACTGGACATGTTAAAAACACTGCTTATTATAAAGCCATACTGACTACTGACTACTTGAGTAGCCTCAAGCAGTCTCAGTAAGAAATTCTTTTTCAGTATAATATACTTCCATGGTAAAAATGCCTGCTGTCCAGAATGACTAGAATGATTAGAACTTTTAATTTTGATCAGATCTTACCAGTGCACTAAATTTTCATCATATCCAAAGCAGATAGCCAATGATCTATAATGGCCGTTATTGGAAACTAGATTTCCCTGCATTTTTACAGAAGCCTTGACAGTCTGCTATACCTCACAGTTTCTATTAAAACATCATTTTCATCAAGTAGCTACCAATGAAATTAGAGCATTTACCAAACTGACTGGGGATATGGTACCCATATAGAATCAGGGTAAATTTGTCCCCGCCTTTTTTTTTTTCTCAGTAAGAAACAACATTATATCTATATTTCCATATTACAGCTAGTTACAGTCCAGTGCTAGAATGCATCCAAAACACCAWCTCAGAAACTGAAGGGTGGAAAAGTGTGATGGATGAGCTCTCACTTATGTGCAGAAGTAAGACTGCATCTGACAGAACTGCAACCAAATTGCACCCTGTCAGTCCCGCATACTTGGACAAACAAACTTTCAGATATGAGCTGTCARTAAAGTCAAAACATTGTCTTCTTGCTTTGCTTCAAAAGACTTAATAAACTCTGCAAATACCTGTCCTGAGCTTCACCTAATATGATATTCCTGCCAATTTTTCTGCATCTCCAAAAGCCCATTTCAAGGGCACTTCTTTAATGAGGAGGATGGTAATCATCATGATCTGCTTCCCATCTGCTTAAGCCTTCCTTAAAACATGAATATTAGAGGACTGTAATATAGAGACATAGCCATAGAGACAATATTGAAAATCTCAACAGGCAAAATTGAGCACAGCTAAGTTTATTGCACTCCAATGCATATCCTGCCCTCCCGCTCTCTTCAGTTTGCTCAATATCCAGCATATGCTGCTCCCCATGTTGCCAGAGATGATAGAGCAGCTGAGGCGGCTGCCAAATACCTGTTTAGCAGTAAAATCCTTAGTCATATGGTTATTAGTCATCCTTGTGTGGTATTCAACATGCCTCCTACATAAARGAGGAGAGATTCTATGGGCTCATTCGTATCTCATGAAATATTTTCCAATGCCTATTAAATGTTAAATAGCTCTTTGCCAGCATAAATGAAGTGTCTATATTTCTAAATACCTAGATGAAAAGTTGCACACTGTAAAAACAAAGTGGCTCACCCAGTTTGCAGTGTTTGCAAATCAGTGATTTTTAAGATTCATACTTTCTCACTGTATATTGAAGTCACTCAGACAGGAGCTCACGAACAGAACACTGTGTTTTTATTTATCCTCACCCTAGTGGAACTGGTCAATTGTTTTCATACTGGGGCAACTGTAAGAAACTAAACTTTTTTATTTTTAATCTTTGAAATAGTGAGAGTCATCAAAGTTGCTCTATTTTAATCAAATACCATTTATATAATTACAACATTAAAAAATTCACACAACAGTTAACAGAAATAATTGAACTTCTTCATTACAGTACTTGCATGTAATGAGGAGAAACGGGGGAGGGCGCCCTCCTCCTTTCCAAAATTTGCTTTCTTTCTTCAGCCTCTGAAAAGATAGCAACAGCAACTGTTTTAAGATCTTTTCCAAACCCAGAAGCATCACAAAACGTACATTGCTAACAAAACTTTTCATTCAGTGTTACAGCAATTAGCCACCACTRATCTTGAGGTCAGGGTTTCAGAGCTGGTGCAGTTGCTGCCATTATGAATGATGGGACTTCTGACACTTTCCCACCTCTCCAGCCACTTCTCCTGTTTCCTCATTCTCAAACACCCTTTAGATCTGCCAGTACCACTATTTGAGGCAACTGTGAAAGCAAGCAAATTCACTGTTCAAAAGTGAAAATAAAGCCTAAAAGATGTCATTTTAATTGTGCAGCTCATGGCACTATCCAGAAGGGCCTCATATATATTTCTCTTGATGTGGTTTTCTTARTTTGTTTGATAATTAAAGTCATCTCATTTTAAAGAGATGAAAATTTCACAAGAACACTCTTCTGAGAGCCATGAAAAAAAAGAAAATGCAAACAACTGCCAAAACTCCTTCAGAGTCATAGAAAAGAAAATATAGTTTGAAAGAGTCAATTTTAACAACATATTTCTATTTTACACTTCAACCAAGATGTTTTACTTATGCATTTTCCAAGGAATCCATACACAAAAGCTTCTACTTTGTTAATAAACCTTAATTCTATACTTAAGAATATCAGTCTTAGCTATAGTCTGTAGCATTATATCGCATTATACCTTAACTATATAAGTTCTCTGCTYTTATCCAGATGCTATAAAGCATGCTTTACCTGAATAAATGTCTTTCTCACTTTATAGCTTAGAAACAGGTACACACAGTTGACTTTCATATGTCCATATATATGTCCATATCATTATTAAATTATTAACTGTGGTTCTCCATTCCAGCTCAATATGGAAGGCTGTAATGGAGAGAGATGGAAGGCTAGATTGCCAATAACATAAACAACTGTCGAAAAATAATCTGCTCAGTATTTAGAAAGCCACTGCCTTAAGATATGTTTCATTTTATAGGATGAAACTTTTATTTCCTGAAGACAGATTCCAGTACATTCCCTGTATTTACTTTCATCTCCTATTCAAGTAAAGCTTTCTTAAAATACCTGACTATAAAGCTTACAACACTGCACTGTAGATATCAAGCCTTAATTACTTAAACTACACATTATTACCACACCATTGTAAACGTACACAATTAAAAATCAGAGATGTAGGAAGAATCACAGCTTCTTATATAATTCTAATTAGAGTAAAAGGTATTAACTATGTAAAAATATGTAATTCCCAGTGACTTCTTTGCAAAATTAAGAAAAATACAAGACTTTGTTCACATTTGCAGCATCTTGTAGGCTCACTGTGAAATAACTACAGATTATTAGAAAAAATGTATATTCAGAAAGAAAAACAGTAACTCATATCTTCAATATTCTCTTCTTCTCTGAATTCTTTAAAAAGTTATAAATTATTTATTTTGTGTTAGATGGTGAAAAGCAAATAAAAATAGATGCAACAAATACAAAGCAAAACTCAAAACCAAAAATATATTTTTTCTACCCCAACCAGAAGAAATATTTAGGGATTTCTCCTGCCTGTCTCCCAAAATGTTCCTTTTTTTTCTGCCAAMCTTCAATATATATCTTCATACAGATCCATATTTGCCAAATAACAAAAAAAAATTTAGAAAAAAGACACAAATTTCACAATGAGACATTCACTTTACTAATGTCTACTGAAAATAGACACGTGAATAGGAGAGCTCCTACCATCTTTGGGAAAACTTCAACTAGAAGCAGTGGTGGGCAAATAGTCTGAAATGATATTTCTGTATCTGCACATTTGTGTTAGCAAAGGCATTCTATGTGCTTCTGTGAAGGAAATTGGATCTGTTTGTGATATCTGGACAAAGATAAGTCATCTTAATAACGTTAACTTACTAATAAATATAGCTAACATTAAAATATACTCAGAAGTGTGGCTGTCAATCTACCTGCAACATCAATAACAAAAGCATGCAGACCGTGTTGTAGCATTTCTACAGGACTGTAAACATAATCTTAGTTTCTTGAATCTAGTTGCATATTTGTAATTTGGCAATTTTTTTTCCGCTAGCAGAAGGGATTATACTTGGTTATCTAGTGTTACTCAACAAAAAACTGCAAATGTAAATTTATATATTCTAAGCTTCAACATTTTGTACAACTAAGCATTCCTCCTATTCCTCCTCTAATATATAGAAGGAATATATGCCTTCTATATATTCCTCCCTGTGCCACATGCTSTAGGTGTGCCTGCTTGAGTGGGAAGGTTGGACTAGATGATCTCTAGAGGTCCCTTCCAACCTTGAATATTCTGTGATTCTGTGATTCTAACTGATAATCTTTTTAATTGCTCAGTCTAGTCACAAATGACAATCATAGCCAATATAAGCTGTGTTTTTCTACTTATATTTTACGCTTAATATGGTCAAATAATTTTGTAATTTTAAACTGCATTATTACAAGTGTTTCTTATGCATTCCAGTTTAAGCAGTGGTAAATTTAACTTACTTAAGACAACTACATCTAAGATAACATGATCTTTACTTCTGAATGGTAACCTAAGAATTCAGAAGGGGGTCTAATTTTGCAAACTCATTAAATACAGTTTTTTGAACACAGTTTAATTGATATTATCCAGTCTACATTTCTTTCTATTGCTCTTATCAAATTTGAATTTGCATTCAGATATGGATTAAGTGGGTTTTACAACCAGATACAGATGAAGTTCAAATTTTATTTAAAATAATAACTGTGAGGCGTAAATTTCAGGCTCAGGTACAGATGTGATCACACTCGTGAAAAGTTTTATGCACTGTTGAAAAATATTTATTAAGAATACTTGAAAAATGTTCAGAATATTAAAAACTAAATCAAAAAAGAAATCTTAGAGCTACTGCAAGACCATACGCAAAAATAACTTCTCACATCTTGTTTTGGGCAAGAGCAGGTGCTTTCAGACATTTGTGTACAACAGTCTGATTGCTTTTTATTTATAGCCATTTGGATTAAATGCTTWAAAATAGTTCAATCTTAATTAATTCAGGGAAAAAAAAATATATATAATAATCTGAATGACTTTTTCAGTTAGGCATGATATTTATGTCTGCTCCTGAATATGTATTTCTAAGATTCAGCTAGCACAACTACAGAAACACTTTTAAGATTCCACAGATAAGCTTGTTAACAGCCTCAGTATAAGTTAAAGTGGTTAATAGTCTATTCATTAAGCAATAACTGACTTAAAAAAGACCAAAGACTTGTATTCATTTTCTAGTTAACCTGGACTTGGAAAGAGTGATTTGTTTCAAGAATGCTGCTAGTTCAGTCTATTTTTCTGGAAGAAACTGTAGTTCATTTGGATGCAATTAAGACTCAAATCAGGGAATAAAAAGAATAATCTTACTCTATATCTTCTTTTTAAAGGCCCAAATTCTGCATCCAACAACAAGATGAAATTGCTTGTGAACACAAATCTGTTATTACCATATCCTCATTAAGGGCTTCTTAACAGACAAAAAAGGTTGGAAAGGTTCATTAACTCACCTGACATTTTATGCATCTCTGGAAAGAAAAATGATTTCCAAAGAACCAGGCATATTTCATCAAAATATTAGCCAATAACTTCTGAACATATGAACTAATGATCTTTCTTGAATAATTAGGCTTTTGTTGTTGTGATCTGCACACAACTAAGAAAGTGACAAGATGCTTGAATGTTGAGATAGTTAGGTCATGCTGTAGAATTGAATCAACTAGAGTTTACTCTAGTTGGGATCAGTTTCATTGGATATGGAATAGATGATTTCCATTTTTTATTACTCTCCATTGTTGTTTTGAGKTTTTTTTTCTTGAGCTTGTTCCATATTGTGCTATCAAGGAAAGAAATTTAAATTGAAGGCAAGCTGCAAAATTCATTCATTAAGAGAATGCATTTCCTAAGATCAAAAGGATGCATCAGTGTTATGAAATGTTGCAGTTTGAAAGCTGTAATAGTGGGGGGGGGGGGGGGGGGGGGGGAGGAGATATCAAATTAGTATCGGATTTACAAACAGTCTATGGACCRTAGGTCCGATCACCTTCCTAGGAGCGAATTGAGTTCCCAAATAGCGTCATCCACTATAAGCTCAATTCTGGCAGTATTGGATTCACGAACAGTCTGTGGACTGTAGGTCCAATCGTCTCCCTAGGAGAGAATTGAGTTCCCAAATAGTGTGATCAACTATAAGCTCAATTATGACATTATTGGATTCATGAACAGTCCGTAGACTGTAGGTCCGATCACCTTCCTAGGAGCAAATTGAGTTCCCAAATAGCGTAAGCAGCTATAAGCTCAATTCTGGCAGTATCGGATTCATGAACAGTCAACTGTAGGTCCAATCGCCTCCCCCCAAACAAGTAGTCGAGCTCACAAACAGTATGATTTATTCAAATACAACATTTGCAAAGCAGGATTCAGATGTCAGTATAGGAAATTCCCTACTACAGCTTGGGTTTTTTTAGCTAGCTCTGATGTACAAATGTGCAATCATCACTCACCCYAGAAGATGGGAGAGGGCTCTCAGTCTCGAATCTCCTCAGGCGGCATCTCAGCTCACAGTGGGGGAAGAGGGATCAGCCCGTAGACTGACCCRAGAGCAATGATGGATTCTTCCCTCTCAGTTGTTAGTCTTCCCAGGCAATATTCCAGTCCGAGGGGAGGGAAGGGGAATCAGCGCATCGACCGACCCAAGAGTTATGATGGAGTCTTCYCCCCAAAGTTCTTCATCCTTAGTTCACCTTTTATACTTTCCTTTACATTCAGGTGGAGCATGAGTGACTAGAGTCATGCTTAATGTTGTTATTGATTGGTGAAAAAGTTTCTCGCTTTCATTTAAAGGTACAGTCAATCGAAAATCTAGAGCGCATGCTCAGTGAGGGGTGGTTGTACCTTGGAGGCGGGTAACTTTTGGGATGGAGGTGTGTTTTGGCATTATAATGAGCTTATAATGAGCAAAGTTCAAGCAAAGTTCATCCAAAAGGAGTGATTTGCCACTTTTCTGGCTCAGCATCGGACTTTTTATCGTATATCTCCCATTGGACAGCTACATTGAGGCTTATCAGCAGCGCAGCACAGGGAGTGTGACAGAGTTTGGCCGCAGGGTCTTCACTCCGCTCCGTCCTCCRTTACTCCCCTTTGCAGCTGCGAGGAGGGCAGATTGTTTTGCCCAGGCAATTGTGGAGGAGCCAAGTCCGTGTGTACCAGACATCCTGGAAGTGGTAACAGTGTCTCAACCCAAGCAAGGTTCTGCAATTACAAAACTTCTGTTAGGCCCTAGTTTTCCAAACAATTCCTCCACAATCAGTAGAAAATGAGGCTACATTGTAAATTAATTTATTGTCACATTCTTTGATATCTTAAGGGCTGTAATTAATCCAGTGGGTAGAAAGCATTTGGGGAAAAGCTTAACATGGAGATACAGTCCTAGGTAACAAAAAGGGAAGTAATTCTTCCAAGCATGTTTTGATCTATTGTGTTAACATGGCAGGTTGACCATGGGATATCACCTTCTGCCCAACCTATACTCCTGGCAGGTCCTTCACACCTTCCTGTAATCGATACTGCACTCCTTCTCTATTCTGTGACTTCAACTTTTGTTACCGTATTATATCTCTTCTCAGATTCATTATCAACTATGAAATCTTTTTCTGTACCTATTGATGCTTTGTTGCTCAGCATACCTGTTCTGTGCAGTTCAAAGCTGACTTCTGCCACTACATTGTCAGTTAACCAATCTTTTTCACATGCATTTTTATTGCTCCTAAAGATTCTCAAACACTGAGCTACTTTGATCCAGAAAAAGAGTTCCACATTATTTAGTTCAGGTCAGCTTTTTGACTATGCTATTTTCCTATCCTCCCTTTCCTCCTTTTAAATCTGTTTTTAACTAAAAGGTGTTTTCAGAGGATTTTTACATGGAATCTTCTGATACAGGTGCCAGATGATTTGAATGTTAAGCCCAGACTTTTTATACATGCATACTGCTCCTTCATGAGGGAACTGCARCACAGATCTTATCTATATATGGTCAAGTATCTCTGCAAAATTCTAGCTGTATGGACCAAAAATTCCACAGAATTCCACAAAGCAAGAAGAAACCTACTGAAAGTAAACTTCAAGTAGAGAAGATTTCAATCGGTTTTATACCTTCACAAAACTTCACTAGGAGAAGAGTAGCTGATAAATCGATTTCTGTGGGCCAGGACTCGACCAACCTTGAGAGGGCCTCAAGCATAGTGCCATTGTTGGAGCAAGATGTGCTGGAACTTGTCAGCCATAAGCCCTGGGAAAGACAAGATAAGCCTGGGTCGTCCTGACTAAAGGCAGTTGTAGAAGGGAGTATTGTTTCAAGGTTGTAGATAAACTTAGTCTGCTTTAAGTCTGCCGATAGGACTTAATTTGTTGCTCATTATTTTTTATAACCTGCTTGTAGCTGCTTTTGCATTTAA